TACTTTTACAACTGTGATAGAGCAAATAGAGAATTTCGTCGGTCTGGGAAAAAACTTTTTAAAGTGAATTTTTGTGTGCAAATTTTACAGGAGAAGGAAAATACTTTCTCATTTCAAGAGAACGCTCTTCTGAGATCTGAAACTCACATGTAGTGTTAAAAAAAACGGGCTAATTTTGTCAATTGTTTTCTAATAAATTTCTTCCATTCTTGTTAAATCAAACAAAGTGTCACTTAGACTGATTTTTCTGAACAAGAATGTGAGGAAAATTATTCTAAAGGGGTACTTAGAACTTTCTAGTTTCTTTTTCGTAGAGCCATTTGAGAAGAAAAGTATTCTAACTTACGTACTTTCAATATTTTTCTTCATTTTCTGCCACCGGTAGAAATTTTTTGAAGTAGGAACAGCATTTTAACTGACACATAAAACATTTTTCTTCAAAATGTTTTCTGAAATAGGACTTAGAATTGTTTTCTTTGGGTAATAGCTCAGTCACTTTTAAAGCTACGGCTTTGATGTTTTAACGCAAGAAGCGTCTCTTGGTGGAAGTGAAGGCCAATGAAAAAATCTTAATTTCGGCCGACATGCCACTTAGAATAGTTTTTCTCTAAACTCTAGACCCTCGATTTGATTTCTGATCTCATGGTCTTATATATTATAGTAACTAAAAAAAACCGGCCAAAAGTGTCAGATAAAACTTTGTATTTCTGAGAAAGCGAATTTTAAACAGTTAGCTTCTTACTCAAGCTCTTCACTGACAAACACGAGTCGAAACATACAGACACATACATACACACAAACAAACAGAACAAAAAAGAAACAAACAAGCAAACAAACAAACAAACGCTCGCGCGCACATGCACAAAAAGGCACTTCACGTGAGAAGCAAAGTAATATCAAAATTTTACTATATTATCATTGTAATATACACAAACACTAGTGAACAATATCACAAAAATCAACAAAGAAGACTGGGCTCAAAAAGCAATGGTATTCTTTTACTAAAAAAGAAGGAAGGAATCGATATCTCAGTCTTACAATATTCACGCCAATAATAGGTGAACAAGTAAAGAGATGAGAGAGTGAATGAGTAAGTGAGTGTGTGTGGGGGTGGGTGGGTGTGTGTCTGTGTGTGTGTGAGAGAAAGAGAGAGAGAGAGAGAGAGAGAGAGAGAGAGAGAGAGAGAGAGCAAGAGAGCGAGAGAGAGAGAGAAAGAGAGGGAGAGAGAGAGAGAGAGAGAGAGACTGAAAGAGAGAAGAAGGGGGGGGGGGCATAATGTTGTGGATTGGAGGGGGTGGGTGGGCTCTTGATTCAAATCCTTAATCACTTTTAATTTACATCATAAAAATAAATTATACGAGTATTTAATAAAATAATTGTTCATAGAGCCTTGAGATTGCCATAATGAGGGGGTGTGTGGGTGGAGGGGTACTTATTATAGTATGTATAATAGATAGAGTTAATTGAAAAAGTACTAATTTATACGCAAAGTTTCTAGTATTAAGGCTAATGCAGTTAAAAAGTGACAACAACCTGTTCTTTGTTTTTTTCAAAATCAGGTACAGTCTAATGTGGAAAACACTGAAGTGTTCTATGGTGAAGTGCATACCAGAACATTGACCCAGTTATAAATGTACACAGGAGTTCATTGGCATGAATGTAAGGTTAGCCCCACCTGGGAGCAGAATTCGACTCAGTATACTCATTGTGCTACATATTTTTCTGCTTTTAAATTGCATAGATCTACATAGTTAGGGCATATACGGCTAATGCTCGGGTATTTATTAGGCCTTAGTTCGTAAATACAACTTTGTAGTGTAAGGCGTAAGGTTTCTGCAATGCCCAATCCCCAAAGGCCAATGTCAGTGTTTGAGACTTTCCATGTCTTGACACAAGAGTTCTTTTCTAAATAAAACACTTAGCCGTCCAATCTCGCCGACTGGCCATGTTTACCACCCAGTTTCTTTGGATTTTCCCCAAAACGCCTTTGCCTTTGAAGGCAAGGGTTTTTACTATAATTATGAGCTTTGTGATTGCAATGTGGTCTGATTGGCCTGAAGCTGAGTTATTCTCGAAGTGGCTGTGAAGTTTTCAACTCAACAAGATAAGAATCTAGAGTCCATTTCGTGAAGCATTATATATAGCTTGTTCACTTTCGTTTGTCTGTGTTACTAGAATTCTAGTTCATTTATTAAATTACCAAACAAAACAAGTACTTTTTTTCCCAAAAGTCTTAATCTTGGAAAATGTTTTAAATTATTGTGGGCCCTAACTTAAAATCGCTCTTTGGGTGCATACGCAAGGTCACTAAAATTAATATCTTCCTGTAAACTTACCCACAAATTGCTCATTTCAAAACAATTGTCCAACGGTGAACAGCGTATAATAACTTTTGTTTTTTAAATCAGGCTACTTTTGACGATTTATATCGTTGTTAAGCCCAGGCAAAAGAAAAGAATTACCACGTGACCTTTTAACTGGCGAATTTATGGGATTGTTTTTCCTTTCAAACCTTTGGCATTAAATTGAAGTTTATTTACAATCAAAATAACGATTATTTAGTGCCTTACTGACGTAACTAGCCAACCTAGAAATGTTTTAATATTTGTACCTTGTAAGGTACTCCTTTGCATGACAAACAAAGCCGTAGAGGCGTCTGAGTTTACAGTAGCTTACATTTTTATCAGCAAAAAAAAACAAACAAAAACAAACAAACAAAAACCCAAACCCAGGTTTTTCTAGGCAATACGCTTCTCATGGGCAAAATACGTGGATTCCGACTTCAACGTTAGCAAAGACTGAAACGATTTTCAATGTTAAAGATTGGTATTTTTTCGTGCTGTGTGTCTCTTTCCTCAGTGTTATTAACCCTCACAGCAGCACTGTCTCTGCTCGCTTCGTAGGGTGTGTGTGTGTGT